CCCCACCTCCGCCCCACCTTCACCCCGCCCCCACTCCACCTCCTACCGCCTTTGCCGGTGGCCCTTTCAGTCGCATTCCTACCCAGAGATTCATTTGTACTGGGGACTGAGGGAGGAGAACCCTGGGAGAGAGAAGAGGGAGGAGGGGAGGGAGGAGGAAGAGAGGGAGGGAGGGAGAGAGAAGCCTCCAGCTGCTCTCGCTAGAGAAAGGGAGTGACCGAAGGGGCCAGCCAGTGAAGGGACAGGATGGCTTACACACCTCCGCCCACAGGACCCCACGACAGGGACAGGTTCTAGCTACAGCTTCTCCGAGGGGTAATGGCGGGGGCTGGAGAGTCGCTCAAAAGCCCTGAACGCGGACTGCACCGCCTCTAAGGGACATCCCAGAAGTTAGCATCAGTGGCACTTGGAAGCTCCGATCTCCACAAGTAAGTTGCTTTCTTTTCCTCCTCCATTTCTACCCCAGCTCACTGGTTCTGGAAGGTAGGACGACACTCTCAGGTGTCCGTGACCCCTGGCGGCAGGCTTTCACAGGGAACCTGCTAGATTGGTAGCCAGGGGTTAAGGAAAAGCTCAGGATGGGTCCCAAGTTCTGCCAGCAAATTGGAGATGTCCCTAGCTTGCAGGCTACCATGCCCTGGGGAGTCCAGCCCTCAGAGGGCTGTAAACATCTCCACTTCTGGCACTAGACCAGGGATACCTGGGCCTGCCCCCAAACCTCCTAGCAGTGGTCTGAGAGGCCAGGGCAGTGGCCAGAAGGGGTAGTGTTTGGGGGGACATTATTCCCCTTGGCAGGCTCTACCTTTAGATGGGGGCAGGGAGGACCAGGATGGGGGCGGTGTCCTCAACCTTAGATCCTCAGCTGAATCTTGCTTTCTCTTTTAAGTGTGGCCAAATTGGAAACATGGTCTTGTTATTTCTGCCCTCCTCACTGCACAGGTCACTTCCTGCATACCTCTCTCTGTGTCTTTTGAAACATCTTTCAGTGATGCCCAAACTGTTCAGAAAGGTCCTGGTACAGGCTGCAAGGACAGGGATAGGGGTTGGGAAAGGGTTGCACCATCATTATTCCCTTTTCCTCAAACCTGTAAATCTCCCTGGAGAGCTGTGGAACCCCCGGTTCTGTGTCTTCCCTCCCCAGGGCTGGGGAGGGCATTAGGTCAGTGTTGGCCCCTTGGACCCAGTTTAGTTCCAAAGTTCCAGGAGATTCCCCAAACATCGCGGTTGGCAAGACCAGCCCAGAACCTGCTCCAAGAACCCTTTCAAACACCAGAAGAAAATCAGCAGAAACATGCTTTAGTCATTTTAACAAAGTAGATATTCTCAACCTCATTCTACAGGTGAGAAGTGGCCGCCCAGAGAGGCTGTGTAACTTGCCTGAGGTACACAGCCTATAAACTGAGATTTTTACCTAGGTCTCACTCCAAAAGTTACCTTGTTTTTGTCATAAGTCATGCATTATAGGGCTTTCTGGTTCACAAAGCACTTTTCCATGGGAGAAAAAGGCTAATATTTATGAAACCAAGGTGTTGAGCTGGACATGAGTTATTTCTGACACCAGTCCTGTGGGACAGAGCTTGTTTCTCCTGTCTTATAGATGAGATAAAAGCGAACAGAATTCCAAGCACTGAGTGGAAGTGCTGTTATCTTGGAAACTCACGTCCCCTGGCTTCAAATCCAGGGTCTTTCCACACACTATTTAAAAACCACCCCTGAAAGGTGTTCTGGCCTTCCCAGATCCATGCCTTTTCCTCAAACTCAAGTATAAGTCCCATCCACTGTCCCAATGATGCCCTCAGGAGTCCCAGAATCTGAAGGATGATGTGGGAGTGAGACAGAAGAGGCCCATGGCTGGGTTCTGACATGAAGAACTTTGGTTAGCTTGATGGGGATTTTAAACTAGGGAGCCTATCTGAGATAACATCATTCTGCTTAGAGGCATAAGGTATTGCCTTCAGTGGTAGTCCTGAGATGCTAGGTGTGCTTCTTGGAAGAACAGCAGCAGGGCCACCCTTGAAAGAGAGGAAACATCACATAGAGAACTTGCCTGCTCAGGAGGATGAGACAGGAGGATAGCTTGAGCCTGAGAGTTCAAGACCAGCCTGGGCAACATAGTGAGACTCAGTCTCAGAAAAAAAAGAAAAGAAAGGATACAGAACTTGTCTGTATATCCCACAAAGCACAGAGATCATCCCCAGAACAATGTTCTGGACTTACTACCTAGCTGTCCAACAGAAAGGGATCAGCCACTCAGGCATGGATGTGTCCAGTCCTCTCCAAAAGCTGTGTATAAGCTGTTGGCATTCCTCACAGGCCGCGTTTCTTTAAGAAGCGTGCCTGCATTCAACTGAAAATGAACGTGCTCCATCCAGCAAAAGCAGTGCAGCTGGAGGAGGAGACAAGGTCGGGGGAGCAGACAGTAGACAGGACATGACAAGGACTGGCCCCCAATTGGAGCTGTCTCCTCTGGGGTGAAGTCAGACCTCCTTCGTGGGATTCCCCACGTGGGTTCCCCGGAGTTGGCCGGCACATCCCGAGCAGTGCAGATTACGTTCCTCTGTGAGTCCTGCAGAAGCACCAGAGTGGTTGTCACCACTTTCCTGGCCTCACTGCCCCTGCTACAAGTGCACAGGGAGAGGCCTGTGGGGCTTTCTGCAAGCTCCTGACTGGGTTTCTGGTCTAAGAATTCGGGAGATTCTTAAGCCTGTTCTGGTTATTTGTGATGAAGCTAGCTCCACAGGAGGGAAGAAACAAAGGGAGAGCCCCTTCCCCCAGTTCCCCTTTGTTCTTAAAGTGACCTGATCCTTCATGCTTTCTGTAGGCAAAGCCACTAACGCATGCTGTGCTTCCATGAATTTGAAAAATGTGTTTACTTCTATTGGTTTTTAATTTTAAAAATTGCTCAACAACCAATTATTTGATCACCTATCATGTGCCAGAAAGAATTAATTTTTGAAAACCTTGGAATATGATTGTTGGGGCAGGATTATGCTTTCCATTTTGGAGCATGTTAGCAAAAACTTGCATTTTCTGAGCCAATATTGACCGTTTAGGCTGGGGGTGGAAGGACTATGGAGAGAATGCAGGAGGCTTTGGAACCCACTAGGAAGTTCAAGGGAGATGTTTTCAGATTAAAATATACACTGTGTGTGAGCTACAAACAGGACGTTGAGAGCTGGCAATGTTTCTAAGCGAAGATTCATCATCAGTTGACTATTAGGATAGTTGTCAGCCATGGAAGAATCTTTCTGTTTCTCTTAAAGACAGGTCTAGAAGAATGGGGTATAGACACAAAGGATTGCAGTGAGGCTTTTGAATAAAAATACTTTACTGTATTTCTCAAAAAGATGTGTGGAGTGGCTGTCTCTGGAATTATTTTAAAACAGAGCGGACGGCTTCCCCTTCTGAAAGCCTGCCAGTGAGGCTGGAGTGGTTGGCCTCCATGGCTCTGCCCGGCAGCAGTGGCTAATCTAGTTCCTCCTACCTTGACATTCTGATAAGGGAGCTATTCTAGTCAACAGAGCCTAGGACAGCAGTGACCCTTGCCAAGAGCCGTGTTAAGTTAAATGTTAGAGCCAAAGCTTTAACACATGACCCTGGAGATCCTGGCGGGGGCTTAAATGTTAAGTTCCATTATCATTACAGACCAGAGCACCCTGAGGGGCAAAGGTCAGGGATAATCCAACCAGTTGGCAGGTGGCAACCGCACTTCCTGGTCATCAGGGATCAGCCCATATGTTGGCCAGAGAGTCTGGGGGAAGGAGAGGGTAGGAGTGTGAAGGGGAGAGCAAGCTCACAGTCTCATCCTGTGTTTTGGGGCTAGGTGTGCTGCCCACCCTACGCCTTCTCTCACCTTTCCGGCTCCCAGCCTTACAATCAGGGAGATTCCCATGCCATCATCCCATATTATTTCTTGCTGCTCAAGAAGAAAAAAAGGGGGCCAGGTGCAGTGACTCATGTCTAATTCCAGCAGGGGAGGCAGAGGCCGGAGGATTGCTTGAGCCCAGGAATTCAAGACCAGCCTGGATTACACAGCGAGACCTTGTCTCTACCAAAAGCCAAAATATTAGCTTAACCAGGCATGGCGGCATGCACCTATAGTCCTAGCTAAACGGGAGGCTGAAAAGACAACATCACCTGAGCCCAGGAGACTGAGGTTGCACAGTGAGCTGTGATCATGCCACTGCACTCCAGCCTGGGCAACAGAGTGAAACTCCAACTAAAAGGGGAAAAAAAAGGAAAAGGGGGAAAAGCAAGGGCCAAGAGGACCTCAGATGTGGCCTGGGCTGAACCTGTGTCTTGCCCCTAGAGCCTGCTTCCCTACTCCAAGCCCATCCCAGTACAGACTGCTCTACTGAGCACCTGGTGTTTATAGCCTGGTGTGGGAGGGGCTGCCTCTGCTCCAGAAGGTGGATGTCCAGCAGGGCTGGCAGAAGCCACAGTGCCCAGGCCTCAGAGACCCTTACAAACAAAGGCGGCCAGGACAGTCAGCTAGCACGACCCCACTCGGCACTGGGTATGAAAGCCTCCCCGGCCCAAGTCGGGTTGCCTCAGTGCTCTGCAAAGTGTTCTTTATCAGGTAAACTCAGAAAGTCACTCATATTTCTTCAAAATGTGCAGGAGTTTCCTGCACATAGGACAGACCTTGGATAGAAGGAGCCTAATAGGAGATCGGATCACTTACATACTTGCCTGCAGGCCCCAGGCGCTCTCCGTTGGCCATGACAGATTTCGGCATCCATGGTAGGTGCCCTTAGGAAAACGCATGGGGCCACAGTGGCAAAGGCGGCTGTCGGGGAGGAACAGGGAAGGCTTCTCACTGGGCTTGAGAAACAGATTTGTGAGTGATAGGTAGAAGAGGTCCAAGAAGTGACTTGGAGAGGAGAGTGCCCAAGGCTAGACTCAGGGCAGTAGGGAGGGAAGCCTAGGCCCGTGAGTGGTCCTGGGCACACATGTCCCCTGCCCCATCCTTTCCTTCATCTCTTTGGACCTCCCTGACTCCTCCTCTTAGGCATTCCCACCTGGTCACATTTTACTTCCTTTCTTTCTCATTTTGATTCTTTTTTCCCTTCAGTTTTGTCTTTTTCTCATTTATTCTCTTGAGCATAAATGCCCATTAGTGCTCTTCAGCTCAGTCTCTTTTTCTACTGCATTCATTCTTTTTTTAAATTAGACTTTTAAATTTTGAGATAATTATAGGTTCATGTGCACTTTAAGTAATAAAACAGAAAGATCTACCATACTCTTTATCCAGTTTCTCTCAGTGGTAACATTTTGCAAAACTAGTATGCTAATAACACAGATAAATAATTGGCAAGAAAACAACACTTTCATCACCACAAGTATCTCTTATGTGGTCTTTATTTGGACATACCCACTTCCCTCCCACCCTGCCCACTCCTTAATCCCTGGCAACCTCTGATCTGGTCTCCATTTCTATAATTTTTGTCATCTCAAGAATGTGACACAAGTAGAATCACACAGCATGCAATATTTGGAGATTGGCTTTTTTCATTTAACATAATTCTTTGGAGATTAGCCATGCATGTTCACATGTGTGTATGTGTTTTGTTTTTTTTTTTATTGCTAAGTAGTATTCTATAGTGTGATTGCACCATTGTTTGTTTAAAGACACTGGTTGTTTTCACTTTGGAGCTATTATGAATAAGGCTGCTGTAAATATTCGTGTACTGGTTTCTGTGAACATGAGTTTTCATTTCTCTGGGATAAGTGCCCAGAAGTGTAATTGCTGGATCATATGGTAGTTGTATGGTTGTTTGTTTGTTTAAAAGCTGTCAAACTGTTTTCCATTGTGACTGTACTACTGTACATTCCGACCAACAATGTTTGAGTGATGTTTCTGTGCATTGTTGCCAACATTTGGTGTTATCACCTTTTTATTTTAACCATTCTGATAGGCGATTCTAGTTTGCCTTTCCCTAATGACTGACCATCTTTTTATGTGCTTAATTGCCCTCCACATATTCTCGTTATCCAAATGCATCTTCGTGTCTTTTGTCTATTTTCTAATTGGATTGGCTTTTGTTGTTGTTTTTGTTGAGGTTTAAGCATTTTTTAAATAAAATATTCTAGATACTGGGCTTTTGACATGTACTGTTTTTTACAGATATTTTCTCCTACTCTGTCATTTATCTTATCTTCTTAACTGGGTCTTTTTCAGAGCAAGTGATTTTAATTTCAATAAAATAGATGATCATTTTTTCTTTTTATGGATTGTGCTTTTGGTGTCAAGTCTAAGAACTCTTTACCCACCCTAGATCCTGGAAAGATTTTCTCATTTCTAAAAAAGCGCTATTGTTTTATCTTTTTTTTTTTAGTTGGAGTCTCACTCTGTCGCCCAGACTGGAGTGCAGTGGCCGCTCTTGGCCACCGCAGCCTCGACCTGCTGGGCGCCGGCGATCCTTCCACCTCAGCCTTCCAAGTAGCTGGAACTACAGGCACGCGCTACCAGGCCCGGCTAATTTTTTTTTGATTTATTGTAGAGATGAGGTCTCACCAAGTTGTCCAGGTGGGTCTCAAACCCACGGGCTCAGGCAATTCACTCACCCTGGCCTCCCAAAGCGCGGGATTACAGGCTGTTTTATCTTTTATATTTAAGTCCATGATCCATTTTAAGTTTATTTTTGATAAGATCTGAGACTTAGGTCAAGGTTCATCTTTTGCCTGTGAGTGTCCAGTTGCCCCCATACCACTGCTTGTTGAAAGGCTCTCTTTCCTCCACCAAATTCCTTTTGCATTTTTGTCAAAAGTAAGTTGGGCATATTTGCGGAGGTCTATTTTGGGGTTCTCTGTTCTGGTCCATCAATGCATGTGTCTGTCTCTCTGCCAGTACCGCACAGTCTTGATAACTGCAACTATGTAATAAATCTCACCCCTCCCACTTCTATTCTTTTTCAAAATTGTTTTATCCATTCTAGTTCCTTTGCTTTTCCCTATAAATCCTGGAATCATCTTATCTATATCTACAAAAAATCGCGTGGGATTTTGAAAGAAGTCGCACTGAACCTGCATATGAATTTGAGGAGAATCAACATCTTTAGTATATTTGAGTCTTCCAATTCATGAGCGCGGGATGTTTCTCTATTCATCTAGCTGTGCTTTGAGTTCTTTCTTCAGCATTCTTTATTGCCAGCAGTTCTTTTTGTTCTGCCACGAACTCACTCTGACCTTGGGCATGTTCCTTCATTTCTCACACCTTCAGTTCACTTTCTGTTAAAAGTGTCTAACAACACCTACTAGAAAGATAGGAGAAGTGCACAAAGACCATAGCCTGAAAGCAAGATGGTGTGAATATGAATGTGTGTATATATACAAGTAACAAAGATAGATGGTGAAGAAGAGAAGTGAACAGTGAGAAAGACCCAAGGAAATAGGGCATAATAGGTAAAATCCCAATAACTGTAGCTGAAACCTATGGGGAGCATACCATATGCCAGCTTTGATTCTAAATTATTTACACGTATCACCTCATTTCATCATTTCAGAAAAGATATGTGGTAGATACTATGTTCTGCATTTTCTAGATGAGAAAACTGAGGCACAGGAGGGTGAAATGCCATGGAAAAGGTCGATAAGATAGCCCATGAGCAGGGCCCCGGGGCAAGCATGAAGACGCAGCTCCCTTCCCTGGGTCTCTCATCTGCTTTTCCTTCTCTCCTTCCCAAGTTGTGTCCTGATGCCCGCATCCACCTTCTCATCTCTTCATTTTGTCTTTCCTTTTCATCCTTTGCTCTATTATACTTTTTCATTCTCAGCCCATGACTCTAATTCTGTTCACTTCACTTTGTTTTTCTCTTGACCTCACTGGTCTTCCCTGGTTCATTCATTCTCCCATATCTGTCCCTTTCCTCTTTCTGGGGTCATTTGGGTATTCCCTTTTCCTTGCGTTCCTCAGACTTTGGGTGCGACTCCAGGGCCTCTCAGCCTGGGTTCACATCCAAATCAGCAACTTACTAGATTTGGGGCCCTTACTCATCCTCCTTAGCCTC